GTGCTGCAGAAGGGTGTCAGCTGTTTTCCAGCTGCATGCAGGCATGTCTAGTCCGTCCCAGTGACACCTGTGCTGTGGTCCACTTCTCTTAGCCGATCTCCTTTCTTAAGGAAGCGTTCTACACTTGCAGCCCCTGTAGAAACTGAAACTTGGCATACCCTTCAACGCCTTCCTGAAAACATTTCCACCCATGCCTGAAGTCCTGGGAAAAATACCTCATGGTGTGACGTGTGTAAAGTGAGCAGAACTACCTCCTGAACTTCCTGTACCAAAACATCGGAGTTAGCTCTCTGAATTTTTCATGGATGCAGCATCAGCACAGTTATCATGCTTCCAGTTGAAAATGCAAGCTACTGGAGGTTGCCATGGCCTAGAAGTTAATCAGTAGTACAGATCATAGCAAGGGAAACTGATACAGTGTCAGTTATAACTGCAGGGGAATGAGGAGTGCTGTGGCATAAGTAAGAGTTGCAGGGGACCATGATACTGAGCCTCATATGAAAGTTGCAAACTTGAAGTTCCAAGTGTCAAGAAGCTCTTTTTCTATCTAGTTCATCCAGTGTGTCTCTTTTCCAGGTACTTACCAACCTAGTACTAAATCACGGCAAACCAAATAATTTATCTTTTAGAAAATCATGAAAACCAGCTTTATGATCACACTTTTTCCATGTTTTTCTTTCTGAAAGCAACTGTGCTGTTTGAGGGTGAGTTCTTCCTCTGAAAACCTGCTGGATGGATTTCCAGAGCTGGTTTGCCTTCCCAATGGGGGTATTGCTGTGCTGTGCTCTTCAGACATCTGCTGTTCAACATCTTGCATCTCACAACCGCACGAGCAATAGTCAAAGAATATCCTTCAGCCACTCCTATAAGATTGACCTGCCCACGTCCTCCCAGATGAAGGTGGAAGTAGATCCATTACAGAATGAAGACAACAGTGGGGTGCAGCTAGATCCTGGAGAGGCTGAGGAAAATGAAGAGCAGAACATAGTCTTTAGGCACAACATCCATGTGCACGCACCCAAAGATGACTGTGAAAGTTTGAGCCACATTAAGGATCTGTTTGAAAGGATGGAGAAGCTTGAGAAAGAAGTGGCAGAGCTGAGAGAAGTTTGCAGCCCTCAGAAGTGCTGTGGGGGAAACGAGAGTAAGTAACAATTGTAGTATCTGATCTTACATTCCAGAGACAGCCTATTTACTGCAGAGATTTGGGGACTGGAATCCATTGTCGAGGTTATTGGGGGTTCTCTGCGACTGAAATGCTTAAGATGGGATGGTGCTGTGCGTTCTGTGATGTGAAAGGAAATCTGAAGGATCCAAAATGCAATAGTACATACCATTTCTGGAACCAGTGCAGGGGAGATCGCCCCAGGCGTCTCCCAGAAGTGGAAGGGATCAAGTCCTGAGTTTCACATATGTGGGAGGATTTGATGGAGGAATTTCTGGAGGACAGGAGTGTGGAAGATGAGGGAGACATTTCTTATTACTGTCTTTTCCTTTCTCATTTTTGCCTCCAGAATTTTGCAGTTGTGGAGAATTTATCTTTTACTTCCTCCTTGATAACTGACTAAAGAAGAGCAGAGTTTATGATGATGATGATGTTTTGTGGTGGCCGCTGGTTCTGCCTGTAATCAAAGTTTCATACTGCATGGCCTCTAAGAAAAGATTTGACAGAGTGGTTTTGTTTGGGGAGTGGAGACAGAAGTGCAAGCAAAGTCTTTGCTTACATGAAGAATACAGGTGTATAGCAAAAGTCAGTAATGTGCTCTCCATCTTTATCGTGAGAAATGGTGAGCTTAAAGTGCAGACAGGAAGATTCGGGTTAGAGGCTGTGAAAAGCTTTCTCACTGACTCTCTGGGGTGGTCGTGGAATCTGCATTCATGCTGCCTGCGGACAAGTGTGTTGGGAAGGGCAGGGTTGGGGCTGATCCCTCCTTTGACCTGGGGCAGAGGGACAAGGTGATGTCTTCAGGTCTTTTTCAGCCCATATTGTCCAATGATACTTACACTTTTAATGACCTTGAACACACCTTTGCACTACCTGTCCATTGCTGTATTCCTAATTTGTTCTTCTTTTGTTTTTTTCTTCTTTTTTTTAAAATTTATTTTCTCTCATATGTGTGTCACACTTTTTTTTTGTGCATCCTGGTGCTACTCTGGCCAGGAATGTCACACTGCAGCGGCCATGGAACTTTCCTCTCTGAGACTTGCAGCTGCAAATGTGCCGAGGGCTGGGAGGGCAAGGACTGCTCCCTCCCCAGCTGCCCCAGCCACTGCAGTGGCCGAGGGCGTTGCGACGGTGGGAAGTGTATCTGTGATGATCTTTACTTTGGTGAGGACTGCAGCCAGCAGCTCTGTCCTGAGAACTGCAGTGGCAACGGGATCTGTGACACCGCCAAGGGGGTCTGCCAGTGCTACGAGGAGTTCATTGGAGAGGACTGCAGCGAGAAACGATGTCCTGGGGACTGCAGTGGCAATGGGTTCTGTGACACAGGAGAATGCTACTGTCATGATGGCTTCTTCAGCCTTGACTGCTCCCAGGGTAAGACGTTACCTGACTTACTTGTCCCTTCTTTCAATCCGAGTTTCTCTCTCTACCTCCCATAAACACTTTGTTAATCCTGCTGGTAAGCCAAGCCTGGGGTCACCAAGTTCTTCTCAGAGTTCTTGCTGGGCTAGGGGTTGCTTGCTGGTCCTTGTCTTCGAGACTTGCCTGGAAAACTTTGAGAAGTTAGGGAATAACCAAACGCCGAGCACCCTCAGTAAGGATTTGCAGTGACCTTACTCACAGGACTTTTCTGCTCCAGATCATGTCTCATCTCTCAGGCTTGATCTCAAGTGTTCCGTGTCAAAACTTCCCTCCTCCTACTCTGTCCAGAGACGTTCCTTTGTCGCTCTAGCGCTATTCTTCCCTGTCAGTAGACTGAGATTTTTGCTGCTCAGGCAGCAGCACTGTTACAGAGGTAGCAAGCAGAAGAGTTTCTCCCAGAGCAGAAACAGTTCTCCCAGAGACCTGTTGCCCAGCCAGCTTCTCCCAAAGGGCGGGCTGGGTCCAGCCTTGGATCCTCTTCCTTACACAACACTTGCAGCTGTTATACAGGCGGTGCAAGTGGCTTCTGTTCTCTGAGTGCGCAAGCGCTACAGAGTTGAGTCACATAGCCCAATCTATTTTGCTGCTGTTTCTGAGCACTGCACCTCAACTCCTACTTAAAAACTTGCTGAAGTCTAAAGCAAGTGGTTTCCATCTCTCCATATTCAAAACAGGTTTAAAAATATTTCTTGCTTGGCCATGTGAAAAGACATCATCCTTGTTGCAATGTTTTTCTTTGTTTCTCTTCTAGTGCTTGCTCCTCAGAACCTGCAGCTGCTAAACTCCACGGAGACCTCTCTGGCTGTCAGCTGGGATTCGGTGGTTGATGTGGATAGTTACCTCGTTAGCTTTTATCCATTGGGATCTGAGATGTTGATGAAACAAGTCCATGTGACCAAAGAGCAGCTTGGGTATGAGATTGTGGGTCTCCGCCCTGGCACCATGTACAATGTCACGCTTCGTCATGTGAAGAAGGGGATTGCCAGTGAGCCCAAGTATCTACAAGCAAGTACAGGTAGTATTTTCCCCCAGAGTCAGAAGTTACAGATCTATAAAATTTGATTCAAACATGCTGAGTGCATTGTTTGGCTTCACAGGTTTGTAACATCCTGTCTGAGCGCTGGAAAGCACTTTCTCTTCCCAGCCTCAGTTGCTGTTTTTCTCTTTGTTCTTTTCTGGAGAATCTGTTCCCAGATATGTATCATTAGGGCTGAATATATTGCAAATTTCCCTCTATCTTGTCCAAATCCTACTTGCACTGACAGCCCTGAATCCCAGGGTATCTGTAACGTTGCTTGCTGCAAGAAGAAATGGAAGCGTGCAAGGCAAAGCCAGCATGTTATTATGAATAATGCGCTGTTTGGCTGGATACAGAGGGAACTTTAAAGTAGGCAGGACATCGTTCCTAGGTACTAATCTGCCAGCCATGCCTGCAGCTGTAAGTTTTTCTCATAGTCCCTTTCCAAGACTGAATGAGCTTGATGCTACTATGGTTTGGAAGTTGAGTGTGGGAAGACTGCATATTTGAAGTAGTCTCTTGAGAAGCGAAATGCCATTTTGTTAGCAGCTGATATTATGCTTTCTGCTGTACTTGGCAAAAACATAAAAAAATTTGGTTATTTTGACATTTTTCTTATTTCTAGCACAACAGGTGGGAGCCGAGAGGCAGAAAACTCTTGAGTTGGAGTGTTACCATGGATAAAACTAAGCCTGTTGAAGTAATGATTGTGCTGTACTTGCTTAACTCTTTGGTTTGGCTGAGGAAAATGTCTCTCAGAGCAGATGACTGGGCAGGGAGGAGGACTATTTAGCAACTTTGTATCTTATATTTACTTTTTCGTGCTGATGCTGCTTCCTCACGGCCTTGTGCTCTCTTTCCCAGACCTGTCTGCACTCAATGCCATCTGGGTGACGGACGAGACGGAGCAGTCCCTGGAAGTGGAGTGGGAGAACCCACCAACAGAGGTGGATTATTACAAGCTGAAGTTCAGATCCCTGGCAGAGGTGGATGAGAAACAGGTTATTGTACCCAAAAGCAATGACCCTAAGAGCAGACACATCGTGACTGGTGAGTACTTGTGGAATATTCCAAACTGGGCAGGGCAGGAAGAAGTGGCAGGAACGATTGACAGTCAGAAGTGGGACATCCCGGGATGATATTCTCTAGCCCTGGTCAGTGGATGACCAGCTTTCCTTCACCTTATGTGTGCTACAAACCAGAGGTCTGTTGGTGTCCCTCCACCCATAATGATGGGTTCTACACAGGGAGAAAGCCTCAATGCCCTGTGGATAGCAAGTTTCGAGGCATATTCATTCAGCTTTAATTCTGTCCGTGTTAGAAATAAAGTATATTATTCTGTTTCTCTCATATTATGGAAATCTCCATTTACTGTAGTTAATGTATTCCCTAAAGGCAAGCCTAGACCAAAAGTGCTACCAAGGCATTCTTAAGACAGAAGGAAGTTAGCTAGAAATCTAAACTTTTAAGTTGCTCTCTGCTACAAGCCTACAACTGGATAGACTAAACAAAATAGCTTTCTGTAAGACAAATTACTGTCTTCCCTAATTGTTCATAATGCTTCCTCTTGCTCTTTGCAGGCCTGAAACCTGGCACAGAGTATGAGGTCACTGTTGTACCTGTGAAAGACGATACAGAAGGGAAGCCCTCCTCAGTGAGCGGTAGGACTGGTATGTGGAAAATTTCTTTTACTATTGTGATGTTACTACCATGTTTGGGTAGATCTGTCAAAATCACAGCCCAAAAGGTGCGCAGTTGGCTGTTGCTTCATGCATGACTTGCAGCCAGGTCTGCTTGTATCTTGTTTAAGGTTGTCAATGCTGTATGTTAAACACTAAACCCAGCCCTAGCTCAGTCTTTTGCCTTGGTTTGAAATCTACGGTAACTCCACCCTTAACTTGATTAATGGCTCCAGCCAGGCACAGGACAACCATAGTAAGCTGGCCTGTGTATGGTACAACAACCCTCGAACAAGCCCAAGCTAGGTCCAGCAGTAACTCAAAGTTTGCTGCTTCATGACTTCCTTCACTAGATCCTTGACAGGATGTCGTCGCTGAAATCTAGCGCACATGATTTTTGACCTGGGTATGGCTCTTTGTGGATCCTCTGGAGAGCTGCCGCTGACTGCCTCACAGCTGTTAGCTGCTTCTGCTGTGTCTGATCTCTGAGCCCAGGAGCAATAAGGAAGAGGATAAGTTCTTCTTCCTTCCTGTATTGCCTGGCTCCAGCATTATTTTTCTTTTCATCAAGCTGAACAGAATAGTTGAACTAGGGAGGAGATGAGCACACCATTGCGAGGCCTAGGGGCTACAGCTGCCGCTGCTTTGTGGTCTGATACACCTGCCCCATGGAGGTGCACTTGTGCTTGTCCAGTGGACTGCGCAGTGGCACAGCCCTCACGTTCCTGGAGTACCTTGTGTCTTTGCCCGTCACTCATCACGTGGCTGAAGAGGCTTCAGCTACTTGCTGGCCCTTTGGGGTTGAAGCTTTCCATCGGTTTATCTTGTAACAGAGCCCAAGTCAGACGTAGCCATCTCCACCATGGGGAAAGCACAGAAATGTCTTTAAGCTGACTTCTACTCCAGCTGTATGTTCAGTACAGCTCAGAAGTTCTGGCAGATTCTGCTGTTACTTGAGTTGTTATTTTTCCTGTAACTGGCAGTCTGGCCATTCCACGCCTGAATGTTAAAGCAGATCTGGAAATCACTGATGCTTCAAGCTCTTAAAAAAAAAAAAAAAAAAAGGCAGAATATTTTTGAGCTATTATATTGCAAAAAAGAGCTTGAAGAATTTTGAACTCTCATTCTACCTGTGAGATTCTGGAAACTCTGAAGTTCAGCTCTCCTGTGAAAGGGTAGGCATGCTGCATCCAAAGACTGAAAAATCCCACATCAGACCTGACAGTCCTGAGGTTGTGTTGTGTGTTGTCAATTATCCTATTAAAAGAAAGTGGAATTATAACAACAAAACCTACAACCTCCACTCTTCCACTGTAAGGCTGCTCTTCCCCATGTAGATTCTATTATTTGGAACACCCTTAGCTTGTGTTTCCAAGCTGTTCTTCACAGACATGGGGGCTGCGAAACTTCTTAAAAGTGAGAAAAATTATCCACAATGAGTAATCCTGCTCGTGTTCTTATGTAACCCCTGGAATTTAGGAGCTGTGACTAAGACAAATACCAGCTATAGCAAGAGCTACCACTAAACTCTGATTCATTACTTAAAATAGAAGAAGCCCTGGGGGAGTGCGAGAAACAAATCTGTGGGGTAGACAGAAAGGGAAGAGCAACAAAGGGTTGAGAGAGAAAGGATGGGGCATATGCTTGGGACTGTGAGGAGGGTAAGCAGTAAAGTCATGCTCAAGTTGATATCCACAGAAGGTGAGCAGATAGCCTGCAAGCTCTTACTGCAGGAAAAAAAAAAGTTTCGTCTAAATGGTAGAACAGTCTTGCTTTTTCCCTGCTCTGACCATGCTGGTTTCTCATGGATGCCCTTTTTTCTCGAGGGCCTGTAGAGGGTGATCTAGGTGACTGTGTTTTAGTTGGCCAAAGCAGCAAGGCAAAAATGAAGTTTGCCTGTGTCTGTAGCGGTTTAATTAATTCAGCTGGAGTTTCCTAACCTTGCACTTTGAAATGTTCTCTCAGGAATTGATAGCCCAACCAATGTGGCAACAGACCGAGTGACAGAAGATACAGCTACTGTCTCATGGAGCAAAGTTGAGGCTCCCATAGACAGGTACATGGTGAGATACACCTCAGCTGGTGCGGAAACCAAGGAAATAGGGGTGGGGAGTGAAAATGACATCATTACCTTACGGGATCTGAAGCCAGGCATGGAATATGTCATCCACATCTGGGCCGAGAAGGGGCCTCAGAGAAGCAAGAAGGCAAGCACCAGAGCTGTGACAGGTGAGTTGTAGCAGCAGCAGTGGAGGGACGTGAGTTTAAATTTCAAGCTTCTTCATCAATTTTCCTTGTTTTACTAAAGCTTGTCCTGGTTTGCACAAGTTTTTAGTGAGGAAAACAATTCATGTTGTTCTTCCTAGTGTGGCTGAACAGGTCTCCAGCTCAGCTTGAAGACTGTTTTGAGTCCTGTTGTGGACAGACCCTATGGCAAGGCACCAGTTCTGTCAGTACAGAGAACAGTGAAACACAGCCAAAACTAAAGCCTCGTAACTGGAATGCATAATTTGTGACTTGCCTTAAAATGCCATAAACCACCTCCTATCTTTTCTGTGGGTGACTGCTGTAGCCTTTCCTGACAGGACAAGGGACTCGTACACATTTTGCACAGATAGTCAGGACAGAGTGTTCATTAAAAAGGAAAACCAAATCTATTTGGATCACAGTGTACATTAAGAATCATGTGGGGAATCACATCTCCCAAACAGGATATTTGATTGCTGTTCTTTGGTGACAGGGAGTCTCCATCGGAAAGGTGTTCGCAGCAGTGCCCGCAGCTGGATTGGGAAGCTCCTTGAACCAGTGTTTTGCTGAGTTTTATAATCCAGCCAGCCATAGTCCAGTGTGGCTGTGTCAGTTTGACTGATGATTCGCAAATGTCTTATCTGTGTGCAGCCTGCACTTGTACAGCAGAAATTCCTTAGGGGAGTGTTTGGGATGCTCCACTCAGGATGTTAGCCCACACATTTAAGCATATAAATTGGACTAGACACAACAGGACCCGCCTTGGGGAATTTGTAGGACCATCTGAAGTTCCCACCCAGAGAGAATCGGTAAGGATTATTCAAATGATTAATTATGAAGCTTAGTCAATCACTTACTTTCAGATTGGTCCATTGTCTCAGGCCAGCTCGTGTTGTCATTGATCAAGGTGACTCGATGGGAAGGTCCTGGCACACGCAGGGAGTTCAGGAGTTAAATGCACTGCCTGTGCATACAGGCACAGCCCATACTCAGCTGCAGTGCACTTATAACTAAAGAACAAACTTGATTTTCATATCACTTGATTTTCGTATCACACAAGAAAATCATACGCTTGATTTTCTTGCCAGAGGTGAGAGTCTTATACTGCTAACTAGCTGAGCTGTCATTATTCAGATACATGTTCCCAGTGTGCTGCTCTAGGGTGACACCAGCAAGCCTGAGCATCTTTCATTAGACTAAGAAGTAATGTATTTTCATCTCATAAAATAGGTGAGATTAGTACGCACAAGTAGAAAATCGCAATTTTTACCATAGCTAATGTGTGGTAAATCATAGTGCGGCTAAGCTGATGTGTGGTAAATGACAGTGTGGCTGTCATAGTTGTCTGTTTCTGCCCTGGAGTTTAGAGCCTGCAGCAAATAAACCAGAATAAGAAATGATATTCCAGTAATTTGGGAGGCTTCTGCAGATCCTTCGTTGCTTAGGCTGCTAAGATGTATTTAACAGTTCAGTGAAAAAAAACCAACCAAACCCCACAAAAAAATCCCCTAAACAACAAGAAAAAATTACGTTGTGTGTAAAAAGTCATGAGTTGTTGGGCTGTCCTGGAAGAGCCACATTCCTGCATGCTGCGTTGTGACAGTGATTTGAAGTTTGTGAAATCTAGTGTCATGTTTCCATCTGTGAAAAGGACAGGGGAAGGATTGTAATGGGAGGAGATCGCAAGCGACGTAATAGCTCAAAAGGAGGCTGATAAAGGGGAGCAGAGTATTGGTGCTGCCTCAGTGTCTCGCGTCCTTTTTCTTTGCCTCGCTGTATCTGTCTGAGCCAGGACTCCAGGGCCAAGCATGCTCCCAAATGACTGGTCTAATGGGTCTCTCTTACGGTTCTTAAGAATTTAGGTCTGACAGAGCCTCAAATTTCAGTTGGAGATACTTCTGCACAGTCATTCTTCCCTGTATCTCTACTTGATATTACCTCTGAGGCCTTTGTCTGTGCACGTGCGTTAATGACTTACCTTGTCTTACTCCAGTTCTGTGTTGTTAGGAGCAAGTGTGGTGATGAGGCGCTGAGACCCAGAAAAGCTATAGATGAGTTAGTCCATATCATTCATGAAGGCTGGATCACGAGGCATTGGAAAGCAAAGGTTTTAAGAAGAGCATGTGTGTCTTTTAGTTAACCCCGCTTTTTGTTCTGCACTTCGCAGAGATGGACAGCCCAAAGAATCTGGTAACTGGCCAGGTGACAGAGGACTCGGCCACCATCTCCTGGGATAGAGTCCGAGCTCCTATAAACAGGTATGTGGTGAGCTACGCTTCTGCTGATGGAGACACCAAGGAAATAGAAGTGGGGAAGGACAGAAGCATTGCCACCCTGACAGGACTGGAACCAGGCATGAAGTTCACCATCCAGCTCCGGGCAGAGCTGGGAAGCAAGCAGAGCAAGAGGGCAAGCACTGCCATTGTGACAGGTAACTGTGAGCAGAAGGGAAAGGAAACGGGGCAGAAGGACCTTAGTCTCTTGTTATTTTACGTTTTATGGTCTCTCTTTGCGTTACTGGGTACTGAAGGTGCACAGTGATAAGTGTGTGAGTACAGACTACTGTAACAGAGGCTGCTGCTATGGGTGATCAGAGAAGAGGGGAGATGTAATGTGAGTGATGGCAGCTGGTGCTACCCAGTTTATTTCATGAGTCCCTAGTCAAAAGCATGTGGTCCTTCATGTGCTGTTATGAAGCCAAAAAATAATAAAGGTTTAAACAACCAAAGTTAAACCATTTTAGAATTGGTGACATTTAAAAATAATGGCCTGCCCTCTGACTTGTGACCTTAGACTGGTCCTAGGGGGCTGCCAAGAAGGCTTAAATCTGTCTGTTCAGTCTAGCCATAAGGATTTTGGTGTAGTGGGAATATTTCAGGGTCACTCCATGTCCATCGGCCTTGCTAATGTACTTTTTTTCTGAGTTTATGAATCAAGCCAGTGTGTGATGAGCAGCTGAAGCTTGGATTTAGGGCAGGATGCCCTAAATGATGGGGACAAATGGAGGCCAAAAGACGGAATCTATCCAGAACTAGAAATGCAATGAGAGTTCCATTTGAATTTGTTGTTTCTGAACTGGAACGAAAATGAAGTAACTTAAGTTTCCCCTGAAATGAAACTGCTGGGAGAGGGAACGTGCTTAGCATTAGCAGGGGTGTTTTTGAAATAGCTGCACGAGAAGCCCCATGTACTTTTTGTGTGTGTGTGTTTTATTTCCAAAAGTAATGACACCTTTGCCAAAATAATACAATTTCTGAGGGAAAAAACCCCCCAAACCACCATTTTCTTGCTCAGGATGATGACTAATAATTGTCCAGCGTTAAAACCGGCCGTGGGAGGGAGCTCTTCTGCCGTGGTGCCTGCACGCGTGGACACTTCTGACTGGCCGTTAAGAGCAGCGCTGTGAAACTGGGCTCTGAGCCTGCTCTTGCTTCCCCTGATGGATTTGGTACATTTTAGCTCCCTCTTCTGTCCAGCGGATGTATACATATAGCGAGCTACTCGCCGAAGGTTTTTAGGTCATTTTACTTAAACTAGTCGTTTAGATCATTTAGATAATAAACTAATACTTAACTGACGAGTCTGACGAAAGGTAGTTGTCAGTTATAATGAATAGCCAGTGTTTTAAACAACGTGCGGTTGAACTTTGGTGTTACTGTCCCTGTTGTTCTTATATTTGGTAGTTCGCTTTCTTCCTCTATGACGTTGTATCCGTTTCAGCGATAACCCTATGCACGAGGAATGCAGCATTTCCTGGAAGAAGCCACATTGCTCCACTCTTCTCATTTATTTGTGATAGACATAGCTTGGCCTTGGCTTTTTCCATGGCCTTTTCACAACTGTAATATTTCACTGATGCATTCTAATTGTTATGCTTATCCTCATAGCACTCTTCAAGATTTGGGAAGTGTTGTTGCCTGATTTATATGGAGAAGAACTTAATCAAAGGACAATGACATGCCCGTAGTCCCCCAGGGACATTTGTGAAAGAGCAGGGAATTGAGATGAATTATTCAGTTATAGTTTGCTACAGACGCAGGTGTACTTCAAGGCTGGAGCACTCTTCCTTGAAGGCCAGCACTGTGAACCAAGAACCTTCTCTCTAAAACTTGGAAAGCCAGACAAGCTTTAATCCTTAAATTGTTTTCCTTAAAATCCTCCTAATATATAGAAGATATAGAAGTGCAGGGTGAAAATTAGGGAGAGGCTGCTTCCATTTTTGTTTCTTCCAGCTGAGCTTTAGAAATTGCTTTAATCCTGAGGAGAGCACTGTTATCTCATAAGACTTTTTGGCAACTGCTGTGAACTGGCATTGCCTCAAAATAATTCAGTTCTTCTGCTCATGCTGGACTTGGGCAGTCTGACTGCCCAGGAAAAGTCTGGCTAAGCCTTGGATGTCAGTGAAGGAGCTTGTGTCCCATATACAGCACGGGCTGACCTGTGAAGCTGTGGATTTCTTTGTATTCCTGTGTTTACTAAAGAAGGCTGAAGCAAGACAACAATAAAGCTTGTGAAGTTGTTCTTCATCTGCAGTAGGGAAACGAGGGGCAGGGCCTCTCAGCAGACCATGCTAGGGCATTGGTCCAGGAGTGGGGCATAGGGCCCAAACCTGATTTATCTATGAATGCTCCTCAGAGATGAGCCTTATGGAGACTTCTCATGTAGATGTGTCAGGAACTCCTGGGCTTTGTACACTTGAGCCAATTGCAGGGCTCACAAAATATCCTAAACCGGATCCCTAGCGTGTTGCCATGTTTGTCCTAGGCTTCTGCTGCTTACTAGCTCCGAAGGTCACTGGGTGACTTCTGTATTTCTCAGTTAACAGGGTCAGGCACTGAAAGCTCAGTCCAAGCCCTGCACTGCAGTTGCTGTCTTTCATTTATGCAATGGGACTTGAATTTTCTTTTTCAATAGAGATTGATCCTCCCAAGAACCTCCGGGTATCAGATGTGACTCGTTCTACTGGGGTGGTTACCTGGACTCCTCCTGCAGCACAGATTGATGGCTACACTCTGACCTACCGGGGTCGAGATGGCACAAGCAAGGTACAGTTGATTCCTCAGCTCGGCAGGCCCCACGGAAATCACCCCTGTGATTAAGAGCTCTACGGCTTAGGTCTTGTGGGTATATGGATCACAGAAAAGCAATTTTGAGGGAAAATCTGTGCTATCCACAGCTTAGGGAGGGAGACCTTAAGGAAGATGTGCTATTGTCATGAGTAGAAGCTGTTGGAGGGACTTTGTGACAGTGGAACACCTCTTCCCAACAGATCTCCAGGTGCAGAGAACACGTTTGCCTCTTCATTTCACTTTTCTAGCTTGTTATTACCTGAAGGGAAGCACTCACCAGGGATAGGGTCCTTAGTGTCCTAAGTGTTTCTTGCCCCAAATCTTTCTACTGAGGTGCTAAGACTCTATGTTTCAAGGATCTACAGTGAAGGTGCTTGTCTGAACTCTACAAGAAAAGCCTGTAAATGCATATGGACTGTGAGGCACCGTGATCCAGACAAGCTAAATGCTATTCAGACTTGGTTTGACCTTGGATCTGTTTTATTTGGCAGGAAGTACAGCTGAGTCCTAGCGAGCAACAGTTTGTGCTGGAAGGGCTGGAACAAGGAGCGAGGTATACCATCTCTGTGATGGCCTATAAGGGAGATCACCAGAGCAGAAAGACAGACGGTGCCTTCTCAACAGGTAGGAATTGGCCTTGGATGTCACACCTTTCCCTGTGCTCTGCACCTGTTGTGCTTTCTGCTAGAGGTCAGAGATGGAGTTCGTGTTCCACAGGTACATTGGGAAACTCTGTGATCATAAGCAAACCATCTAACAAATCAGTGCTGTCTCTTCTGGCTAGGTGTCTGTTCTAAGCCACGCCATCTGGAGGCTTGGGAACAGTGGGATGGTGTGAGTGGAGATCACCCACACTGGTGGGTGCTGCTGGCGAACCTTGCTAGCCAAGTGTGGGACAAAGCCTGCTGGTGAGATGCCAGCGGGCAGGAGAGATGATAATATGGTAGAGATCTTTCTGGAGCATCCTAGTAATGGTAAGGCACAGCTGTTTGAGTACTCTCAAGGCAGTGGGCAGCTGCCCAGGTTGTTTTCAGAGGTTGGGAAATGCACACCAAAGTGGCAACAAATCAAACAAAATCTCGTGTCAGCTTGCTGTGGGAGCCTCTCATACTGTGCCGGAGCCCACAGGGGTTCCCAACTGCGGGCAAACTGTGAAGTGCAGAGGAATTCAAGTCCCTGTTTACTGACACTGCCGCCTTCACAAACAAGGGCTCCTCTTCCTGCTCTCACTGTGACCCAAGCTCTTGGAGCCTCTGGGGACTCCATCCATGTGCCATGTGCCAGACAGTGGGGCAGGCTGCCAGCAGCAACCTGCTCATGCGACTGGACGCGGTGTGAGTGCACAACAGGGACTGCTGTTTGCCTTATTCCTCTCCCAGTACTGTTGTCCTTACTTAGGAGGTTCCTAAAGGTGTGAAATGCCTCCTCCACCTCTATGGCCTGCTTTGCTGATGCGAAGTTTTGCCCCTTCTGTTCTCACAGTTAGCATCCTCTACCCGTATCCTGTGGACTGCAGCCAGGTGCAGCAGAATGGAAAGGCCTCCAGCGGCACGTACACCATTTACCTGAACGGGGATAGCAGCAGGCCGATGCAGGTGTACTGTGACATGACCACTGATGGAGGCGGGTGGATAGTGAGTGATTCTCTGCCCCCTTGGGTTTTTTTTTGTGAATGTAAGCAAGTGGACCTGTACTGGTGTTAGCTGAGGCTCCTTCTTCTCTGCTGCACTACTGTGTTTCAGCTCTGCCTTGATGGAGTGACATGTTTTGAGAAGGATGGTGGACGCTGATCTGCCCCCTCAGACTGTCAGTAGGAATACTGTGGGAGGCTGAATGGCTCAAAAGCTTTTTCATTGTTTGGTCTTGAATGTCACACAGGCTCATATTACTGCTGATTGAGGGCAGTAACAGAGTTATGACAGCTTCATGTGTCCCCTCTTGTCAGTTGGGTCATGGGAGTTGTCTAGGAGGTTGGATTCAGCCCTGTCATAAGATGAGGCAGTACAGCTTAATTTAACTGCCTTTCATAATGAGTTAATTAAGTTTATACCACAGTATAAGGTTATGTGTATGGACAGTTAATGGAGTTCAGCTGATGCCTGTTAGTATTTTAAGTGCTAGTGAGCATGTAGCTGGACTCTGACCACACAGTAGTTGTTGAGTGGCTCAAAGGAATCTGGAGGCAGAAGCATAGATGCTTTAAGGTGGGGAATGTGTATGAAGTGAATGGATATGGAGTGAATTTGAGGTTCTGTGGTAGCTGTCTCCCTAAACAACTGAATAAAAATATCTTTATTCCCTTTCTCACCTTTAATTTTCAGTGATAAGTGATTTTTCCCCACTGAAATAATTGTTGTACCGCTACCCAAGTCCCTCTGATTTTGGTGAAGTTTAGAAACCCAAATGTCCCGTGGATCTTGTCTCTAAGCCCATTTTGTCTATATGTTTAGGTCATGCTCAGATTTGTGATGTCCATAGGCATTTGTGGAAAGGGAGCTGTAAAATCTGCATAACTAATTATTCACCCCAGTGCTTATGTGCAGTCAGAAGATGGAAATGAATTGCTTTGTGTACCCTGCTGAGGTGCAGTGTACCGTCACTGGTGTCGTCTGTGCCTGAATGCTTCACATGTTGTCTGTGTTTGAATCAGGATGAGTGTTTCTCATCCCTGTCCTCCTTGTCTCTCCTCAATCTGCCATGAACTCTGACTCAGCAATCCTTGCTTTGCAGGTGTTTCAGAGGCGGAGCAATGGTGAGGTGGATTTCTACAAACGCTGGAAAAATTATGTGGAAGGCTTTGGAGATCTCACTGGGGAATTTTGGCTTGGTACAGTACATGGGCATGACCAGTGAAGAGCTAAGGATTAGCTTTGTAGAAGCACCTAAATGCTGAAATATCCAACCCCCTGAGCCTGCAGTCTTGACCTGTTAGCTTTTGTGTCTTCCCTGAAATGCCAGTGAAGCACTGAGGGATCTCTAAAGGCCTACTAAGTATTTCCACTGGCATCTCCTGGGCTCTGGAGCAATCTCGGAGCAAGCCAAACTCTGGAAAGGTTTATTGCAAGCTTGTGTGTTCCTGTGAGAGGGAAAATAAAACAATTGCACTCATGAAAGCAGGAAGACCAAGATACTACACAGAACTTTGTGTACTCGGTCATTTTTTTGTCTGTCTTGTTCTGTCAGCGAACTTTGTGCAGATCAGAGAGTCCAGCACTAAACAGGTCAAGGTCTTTGGAGCAAGGGTCTTTAAATGTTCTAGGGAAAATAGTGTTGCACTACAGCCAGCCTTCTGCTGGTTTAGGCTGGTTTGTTAGTTTTTGTTTTTTTCCTAATACTGCTGTCTCTTGCCACAAAATGAAACAAGACAGCATCAACTTGGCAACATATCATGACAGCATCAAGCAGGCAAGGAAGGAGGCAGGAAGTAGCTGGTTTAACCAAAGTGGCCACAGAGGGAGAGTCTAGCACTGCAAAGGTGAACAGGCTTTTCCCTTTTAAGAGTTGGGTCTTTTTTGTTGTTTTGTTTTCTTTTAGGTCTTGACAAGCTGCACAATCTCACAAGCAGCAGCCCTGTCCTCTATGAGCTCCGTGTGGATTTGCGGGCATCCAACGAATCCGTCTATGCTGTCTATGACTTCTTCCAGGTTGGCTCAAGCAGAGACAGATACAGGCTCTCAGTGGGGAATTACAGAGGCAATGCTGGTGAGGAGTGCCTTGTACTTGTGCTGTCTGCTCAGCACAGGGAAGCAAATGCTGCATGTTTGTTTTGCCAGTAGTGTGGGAGCTATTCCATCAGGTTAGATCAGGTGTGGTTCTCTTTGAGAAGTCTTTATGTCCAAGAAAGACTGAGGAGAGTGTGCCTATAGGCCTGTCTCTTGTTGAAGACAGGAGAAAGAATTGATTTTTTTATAGGGAAGAGAGGGCTCTGTAAATCAATGCAACACCAGTTGAAAAGGCAGACTGGGAAGCATTTTCATGAGGTAACCTCTGCTGATGGGGGAGCAAATTCTGGGGCTCCCCAGACAAGAAGTGCAAAGAAAGTGGCTTTTGTTCAGGATGGGAGATGGTTCAACAGCAGTAGCTGTCTTGGTGCTGGCTTGTGCCGCTCTTAAATCCTTACCATTGCCATAGTGTCCATAGTCTTCCACTTACCCTTTAATAAGCTCTTGCCATAAGGTTTAGATCTTCAGCTGGGACGATCCAGCCCTTGGACATCCCTTCTAATAGCAGAGATTGTTGTCCAGACCTGTCCTGTGCTGTTGCTCTTCCCGTGATGGGCATGCTGTGTTCTGCCTGAAGGGTGTGTAAGCCCTCAGACTAAGCAGCTATAGTCTCTTACTCCTATTTGTATCTTTCATCCCTTAGGGGATGCAATGACCTACCATAACGGCTGGAAGTTCACAACGTGGGACAGAGACAACGATGTGGCTCTCAGCAACTGCGCTCTGACACACCGTGGTGCCTGGTGGTACAAGAACTGCCACTTGGCCAACCTCAATGGGAAATATGGGGAGAGCAAGCACAGCGAGGTGAGTTGCAGAGCTCTGTGTGGTGGTGAGCTCTTCTACCCAGCCTTGGGAGGACACGTGTCTCTCCTCGGAGCAGGAGAGATTAACCAGGCTATCCTAACTCATTTCATTTGAAAGGAAACTAAGTTTTCTAAGGAAACTTAGAGCTCTTACTCTGTCCTCCCTTGATCCAGAGACATGGGCTCACAGCCCTCTGATGCTTGTGGGCAGAGATACTTGAGGTGGGGCTGTCTTGGTTTCTAAGGAGGACACGTAAAAGAACACTCCTTAGGAGCCACACTAGGCTGCCGTCCGACTGTGCCATGTAGCCTGACCTTGGCTTTCATTGCATGCCTTGGTGTGCATCTCATTGGACAGGCTTGTTTTGGGCTTGGAGATGGCTCAGTCCTATTGTGTTCCCAACTGGATAGAGATCTGATTTATACTACAAGTATCTGGAAGACTGATTATAATTACAGTCAAAATCTGGTGAACAATAGCATTTCTGTTTATTGAGGGGGTTAAATGGTTTTTGAGGGGAACAGTGGTAGACTCCTAACGCTTGATCTGGGTGCTTTAGTTAAAGAAATTCCTTGGTGTTTTCCCAGGGTGTGAACTGGGAGCCGTGGAAAGGCCATGAATTCTCCATCCCTTTTACTGAGATGAAGTTCCGTCCTTGGTCTTCCAGTAATGAGCCAGTCCTGGGGAGGAAGAAGAGGTCTCTATCAGGGAAGAGAAAGGAAATCAGGACTTAAATTGGACTCTGTGCAGCACAGTACTCAAAGATGATTATTTGGTATTTCTTAAAGTTAGATTCCGGCAGCTTTCTTCAGTATATTGGAGAAAATTGCTGGCCAACATGCACCCAGAGACTTTGGGATCTACAGCCCAGCCTGCTTCCAGCCTTTGGAGCTCCAGATGAGTGATCTGTCAGAGACTGGGAGGGGACTCGTGGCTCCCCTGGTTGCCTGAACATGACGAAGACCTGTTTGATCCAATATATGCAAATTCTATGAACTTTACATAAAACAAGCTTTAACACAGGCTGTTCTTTCTGAAAACCCAGGCTACTGACTCTGCTTAATTCTTTCCTTCTCTGGTGCCATCTGCTTCATACTTGAAAAAATTAAATTTGAACCCACTAAAAAGTAATAGTCCCCTAGTTTACATCTGGTAGAGCTTTCCTGAGACTATCCCTTCTCCGTGTCTTGGTCTGTGGTCCTCCTTTCCTTTCCCCTCATCAATTGGGGCATGTTCCCTACTCTTTGTGTAGTCAAAGAGCTGGGTTTTGGGAAATGTCAGGCTGCTGTCAAGGCTCATTAATCCAGGTGAGATCTGTAGTCTGAGTCCCTAAACCTCCCCTATCTCATCTCTCCTGGTTAAAGTCCTGCTGTTTTGCTTGTCTAATCTCCCATCCCAAAGAAGAGCCTGAGCAGACATGCAGTATATTCATGTTCCCACTCTTGTGTGATGCCCAGAACAGGGGGAGTTTAAGAGCTGTGATCCTCCAAGCTCTCCTCACCATCCCAAACCTGCCTCTGCATACTGTTTGCCTAAGAGGCCACCTGCAGACCATGAACAAAACTCTCTATGCAACTGTCCCATCTGCCACCTTGTGCTTTTTCATTAGCAGCGTGGTAGTCAGTGATGCTGAAACGCTAATGCTTGTCGTCTGCCTCCAAAACGAGCGTCTCGGAGTTAAACTGATCCTGCATGCTGTCCCTCAGGCCCCAGTGCATGGCTTAACGTTTGGCTGCTTTTTTCCCACACAGCCATAAAGGTGAGTTTTATTTTCTTTCCCTGAGCAGATATTGAAATTTTGAACCACAGCTGCAGCCAGGGAAGAAGTATGAGCTCACCAAATGATGCTTGCTCAAAGGCTTCCTTGTATGAGCCGATTGGAACATGATTGTCCTATGTCTTAATGGCCTTTTCTATCCCAGTGCTAAGCTGAGTAATAAATTTTGAAGAGTCCTTCCTGGACTTTGGAGAAAGTAATAAAATTGCAAATAAAGGAGCTCTTAAATTATTTCTGTCTCTTTGCTTTGGGTGGCAGAATTATTTTTCTTCCCACTTAAACTAAGCCTTCTTTACAGAGCTGGAGCAATACACAGGCCCAGATTAGGGCTGTGAAAATTAGGCCTTTTGGAGTCTGCCCCAAAACAGTGCTGAGGATTGTGTGATCTCTTTGCATCTTAGTACTACAGAGCAGTTGCCAGGACGTGGCTGAGGACGTGAGAGCTAGCTGAAGAGTCGTCTCTCAAAGGTGAGTACTGAATTCTTCATAGTGCTCTCAGGGCTGTGCCTCTCACGTGGGTGGGCAGGCAAAGGCTCACCTGAGCTGCATTAGGATATCGAAGCCCCAGTCTAGGGGAAGGAGGAGACATAACGGAGGGAGGAGAGGGAAGGAAAATCGCACTTAAAGTGTTTTGCAGGCTCTGTGCTAAGAATGTGAGAGAAGGACACAGGAAATCAGTGAGGGTTCTCTACTGTGGTGAAGTGATTTTTGCCCGTTGCCTGTATGTCTGCAGGCAAGGACAGGTTTCGCTATGTTGTTCAGTTAAAAGGCACAGTGTAGACATGAGGATGGTGACTGAGGGGGACCAGAGGACTAGCTTCATATGCAGCTACTCTAAAAGTAAGTGTGTGCTCTAAAAAGCAGCAGGTGTGATTGTTGCCAGCAGCTCTTGTGGAGAGGCAAAACCTGATCCCGTTCTAAAGCTGAATCTTACCTGAGAGCAGAGAATAATCTCTTGAGCGGTATGAGCTTTGTATTTCAGAGGTAAAGGTAAATGGGACACCACTTATTCACAGTTTCTGAGGAGCGTTTACTTGTCCCTCCTAATTACGGCTCCTCTTTAACCCGGAAGGGCAGTCTAAGTGGCAGCTGCAGTCAGTATTGCCGAACAGCCAGAGGATGGCATCATCTCTTCATGCTAGTGCAGGAGAAACTTCCCTCCATCAAGCTGGCCTCCGAGGAAAGACCTTTCGGGGGTTAACCAGAGTCTGTGCTACAGCTTTAGAAACTGGAACTACTCAGAAAATGCAGTTTGTTTGCCTTAAGGAACTGGCTGTTCTGGTTTCAAGTCTTGGGCTGGTTGGGGCAGTCCCGTAAAAATTTCACATCCTCTTAGTTACTCTTATTTTGCTGCAATACCCAGCCCTGTAACAGTGATGCCAAAGGGCCAGAAACCTTTGCCCTGCCCTGAGATCACTTTAGTTTTATAGCCAGTGAGGTTTGCAACGTGCTGAGGGGCAGAATTTGAACCTCGGAAGAATCCTGTCTGCCTTGGCATTACTGTGTTGGTGGGGTATGTCCCATTGCCGAGACCCCCCGGGGCCTGTTTTGACACATCTGGGGTGCAGAGTGGCCAGTGCTGCTGTGGAAGACTCCGGTGAAATGCTGCTGCAGGTGGAGAGGTGGTGGGTTCTTCACCCACTTCCCCAGTGTCCCAGCACTGACACAGGAAGAAGGTGTGCCTCTTTGAGAAGATACTGCACCGTGAATGGTGTAATGGGGAGAGAAGACAGAAGTGTCATATTGCACTGGGCACTTGCTTGGAAATCAGCAGTGTTCCTTCTGTTTGCTGCTCTAGGCTTTGTTGGCTAAATAAATAGAGGAATAGTCAGAAAAGATTCCATTCTCCTCTCCTGGAGGAGTTTCATCAGCTTGCAAAGGGCAATTTTTGCATCCCCTCAATCCCTGGAATACCCCAGGATGCTCAATTTGACCTCTACTCCTGTCTGTTTCTAGCCCGGGACCCAGGAACCCCCCCTTCCCTCCACAGCCCCCGCTACCCGGGGATGCCTGTACAGCGTGCAGGGCCGCTGTCTGAAGAGAAAGGAGCAAGGTGTGCACTGCTCGTCGCTTCTCCCCACAAGTGTGTCTCTGCCATTTCTATCTACTTGTTGCTGCGGTCCTGCACGCCTCCTGCCAGTCTCCTCCAGAGCAGCTTGGTGTGCAGTCCAGGTGAGAAGCAGATTTTTTTGCAGTTTTGCCCTCCTGGAGAGCTCGCTCAGTGGTGCATGGTTTGGAAAGGCTCTGCCCCAGCAGAGGTGTGTGCCTGGTCCTATGACTTGTCCAATGCAGGGGGTTGCAGGAAGCTGCAGATACTGTGAAATACCTGTCTGAACAAACCCAACTGCAGAGCAGCTTGGTGTGCAGTCCAGGTGAGAAGCAGATTTTTTTGCAGTTTTGCCCTCCTGGAGAGCTCGCTCAGTGGTGCATGGTTTGGAAAGGCTCTGCCCCAGCAGAGGTGTGTGCCTGGTCCTATGACTTGTCCAATGCAGGGGGTTGCAGGAAGCTGCAGATACTGTGAAATACCTGTCTGAACAAACCCAACTGGGGTTAACTAGTCCGTGCTGCGGATGCTGCAAGGATAAAACCAACACCCTCTGCAGCCCACCTCCTGCAGTGCACAAACTCTGCTTTTCCTCTTCTTCCCATTTGGGGAGAGGAGGTTGGCTATGGTCATTAACAAGGCAAGGCCATTAAACTTGATTAAGCTAAGCTGTTTCTTTAAGAAAACGTCTCAGCACTGCACAGCTGGCTGCAGGGAGAGACTGCCGCTGAGCTCTCCCATGTCTTATCTAGGGCCAGGACACAGATAGAAGAAAGATTTCCCCAGAAAAATAAACACATGACTGAGAACTAGAGACATGACATTTGTTTGCAGTTTGAGAGTAATTTATTTTTGGCTTAAAAGAAAATAATTGCAAAACATTTGGTTGTTTTTTGTTTTGGTTCGTTTTGGGGTTTGTTTTTTTTTTTCTTTTTTTTCCCTGTTGCATGGACTCTGGGAAAATAAAAGGTTGATACTGAAATGCAGTTGTGCGGAGACAGTGCAGAGGTGTCTGGAGAATGGGGCCCATGCAGTGGAGTTTCTGGACCATGCTTCTCGTGCTGCCTTGGTGAGGGTGCTGCAGGGTTGCTGCTGCCCAGCTGATGGGGGATGTGCACTTCAGGGTGTCGCTGCTCTTTTGCTCTTAAGAAGCAGCTGATTCAGTGCATGGTTTGGCTAAAACAGCAGCCCTCTGGCAAGTCAGCCCCTGTGCTTTGTGGGGTGCGGAGGCTCGGACCATCCACTGGTTGGACAGATCAGGGTGGGGTTGTGTCCTGGTCCCCAGCCTAGGAGTGGTTTGAATAATGGTTTTGGTGGGTTCTTGAAATTCAAACCTGGCTTTGAATTCCCCAAGCCTGGACTGGAGATGTTACGTGTGACACAACACAGAGATTTCTTCATGGTTCTCTGGTTCTTGTAGGAATCAGGTGCCCTTGCCTGAAACGTTACTCGTTAACCCTTCTGAAAAGGGTTAAAAAGCCCAGCAGCTCCACACCAGGTAGGATGTACTCTGCCAGAGCTGGCTGCCCCCATGCCCCTGCTTGTTCAGGTAAGCCTCTGGCCTCCCATCGTGTTTCCCTTTGCTCTGATTTTTTTTTTTTCCCCATTCCTCCAGGCAGCACCACCCTTCCTCTGAGGCTGCTGGTGCCTCTAGATTGCAGCAGGAGCACCTGCATGGGCAGCTTTCCTGCCTGTGGGAGGAGGCTGCTTTGCCCACCTGGTGAGCAGGGGGCTGGGAAGAGTTCCTGGATGCAGGAAAGGAGGGAAGGAAGAAGGAATAATACCATTGCAGTGCTAGTTCTCCAGACTTCTGGAAGGACTGAGGGTTTGGGACAGAGACCAGAGCTATCCCTGCATGTTTCTCCCTAGGATTAGGTGTGGCAAATGCTGATCTGTTTTATAGCACTATATGTGGCTTCCTGTTTTGCAGGAGAAGGAAGTCACTTATTTCAAGGGTAACACAGCAAGCTGGAAAATAAGGCACATATGGGGTCAATTTAAAGGACTGTGTGAGGAGGAGCTTGGCCTCCCAGCTGTTACCAGCACAGTCGCACGCAGCCAAACCCCGTGATGTGATGTTAACATCACTGTCCTGTCCGTGTCAGATGGAACAGGCTGTGCTGGGACCGGGTGGCACAAGTGACTGCTTCTAACTGGTGGCTTTGGCCCCCACGAGTGCGTGTCCTGGGAGCCAGGGGAAGGCGGCATCACCTTCACCCAGACTGGAAGTGGTTGCGTCCGGCAGCTCCATCCAGGCTTGCTCATACAGGTTTGTCTGCTTGTCCCCCAGATGTCTGGCTCTGGCTGGCAGCTCCAGTCTGCCCCAGCAGCTTAAAAACTGGAAGAAAACAGGAGGAAAACAGCCAGCGTACAGATGCTTCTCCTCACACATGCAGAGCCTGGTGTGGCAGAGGGCAGAGCAGACCCCCCAGCTCTTCGGGAGGTCGGCTGGGCATTCAGGCCTAGGAAGAGCAGAGGGTCAAAACCAGAGTAGAGGTGAGAGCCGTGTGTGGTCTCGTTAGCTGCTGCAACCAGCGGAGTCATCGTGCATCCTAAGGAGATGGAGGGCAGGGTCCAGCCGTATGATGCATCCCTGAGTAAGGGATGACTGTGGGCATTCCCTCTGCTCCTACAGCACATCCCAAATCCCAGAGTCAGACAGCCTGACAGCTGTACAGAACCCTCTGTGTGGCATACCGAGCTGCCTGCATGGCATCAGCGTGGATCTGTGTGTGTCTAAAGTGTGGCACAAGGGCTGCAGGGCGATGGGATGGCTTAGTGTGCCGAGAATGCATGTCTGCTGTTTCAATACCACTTTGGTGTGCCCAGCCCACAACAGAGGGGCTTTTGGTCTGGCTCTTCTTTAGTAGTCATTCAATAAATAACTCTAATGCCCGTAGCTAAGCTTTTACACAGCCTCAGCTTGTATTTCTGCTCTTACAGTAGCGTGGTGAGCTCTTTAAAGAAAATTCTGTATAAAATATTCTTTCAAGGAAAATTTTTTTAAGTGCTGGTGCAAAAGGGCTGATCTTGCAGCCTTCTCTCTTCTCCCTGCCTCCCGAGGTGGCAATGCGTCCTTCTGCTTTGCTGCCATAGAATGGTGTCTTGAGGTCTCTAAGGTTGGGCTGAGGCATCTGGCTTCAGATGCTCTCCATTGCCTTTGGTTTGGTGGCTGAGGAGACAGCACGTCTTTGAGCTGCTGGATAACTTGGCACTTGGCCTTCTTTGCATCTGCAACGTGAGTGGGTTTGGACAGAGCCCAGGCAGCCAAGTTGTACCACCTTCATGGCAGGGCAAGCAAATGAGGCATGGCTGTGCTTGCTTTGCGTGTGACTGTCCGTGTTTTGCAGGGGAGTGTTCAGGCAGTTCAGTTTTTTGAGCACATGTAGTCCCACGTGCCCTCGCCTGTGCTGCGGCGCCTGTGCTTGCACGCGAGTGCAGAGGGAGAGCCTCGCACCCGGGTTGCTCTGTGCCAGCCCAGTGCACGTGCACTGTACTCATGGTGGGAGGTACATACGACCCAGCGGCAGGTCACCCTCACATGCTCAGCAGGGTGCGTGTCTGTGTGCACCCCTGTTCTTTGCAGGGCTTTTTGCCTTTGGGTACCCTGTATGGTGAGGGGGAAGGGGCTTGCATAAACCCGTGCCTGACTGCCTTGCTCTCTGCTGGCCCTTTAGCTGGTCCCTTTAGCAGGTCAGCTGCTCGGCTCAGCCTCTTTTGAAAGTTACCAAAGCTGCTGCCACTTTGCTGTATCTCCTCACCCCTCACAGTGCATAGCTGAAAGGACTGGTGGCCCCTCAGAGAGAAGGGTCTGACTGACCTTCTGACTGCTAGATGGGCAAGGAGGGTCTTTTGTCCAGCAAGAGCAGCTTGGGCTGAGCCGAGATCCACAGGTCTTCTTCATCCTTCTTCTTCTTCTTCTTTTTCTTCTTGTTCCTCTCAGTGTGCAGCTGCCCATTGCTGCTGGGGCCACCTTTCTTACTTCTTGCTCCCCTCTGGCTGCAGAAGCAGCAGTGGCAGCAGATGAAAATGAACGCAATAAGGAGGGTCTTTTGTCCAGCAAGAGCAGCTTGGGCTGAGCCGAGATCCACAGGTCTTCTTCATCCTTCTTCTTCTTCTTCTTTTTCTTCTTGTTCCTCTCAGTGTGCAGCTGCCCATTGCTGCTGGGGCCACCTTTCTTACTTCTTGCTCCCCTCTGGCTGCAGAAGCAGCAGTGGCAGCAGATGAAAATGAACGCAATGATGACAACGAAGGGCAGACCCAGCAGCACAGCGAGGCAGACGGTGTTGAAGACACCTTCTTCATGCTTGGTACGGATGAGCTCCAAGATGGAATTAAAGAAAGAGCTGATCTTCTGCTCCATGTCAGCTCCTGGGCAGGCTGCCTGTGCTGCTTCCTCTGCTTGAAGGCCTCCTGGGGTATGTTCAGCTCCTGTAAGCAGCTAGTGGGCTCCACGTATGTCCCCGGATGATGCGCCTGCAAAAATAAGAAGCCATAGAGATCAGGTGCCAGCTCGCTGAGCAATCTTTTCTATGGAGCTGCCAGCACGGACAAAGCCTCAGCTAGGTGAGAGGTGCGCTCCTTCAGAAGGCTCTGGGGTCAGGGGGGCCATGCTGTGCTGCCAGCCACCTGCCTTTGGGTGTTCCACAGCCTCACCCCCTCTCCTGGGGTTAATTCTTGGTGGTAGGGATGGGCAAGGAGGGCTCTGGGCATCCCTGCTTGCCTTGGCATCTCTCTGAGCACAAGTCCTGCCCCCTGGATGTACATCTCAACCCTGGCTTGGCAGTCACAGCCCTGGAGCTTTTATTAGTCCTTCTTAGCAGATGAAATGCTACCTGTAGGAAGAGCTGTCTAGGAAGGGACTTGCTTCTTTCTCAGTGGGGACTCAGCATGTCTCAGGTCTCTCCTCACCCCCGATCCATCCTGGGACGGGGTGTCTGGTTTGGACAGACTGTTTCTTGTGGTGTGGGGCAGGCAAGCCAAGCTGTCCCCAGCACTGCGCTAAGGTCTGATCCTGCTGCTCTGGCACCCAGGGCAGCACTGGCAGGTTTGGGGAGGGGCCTGTGATTAACACCTGGAGTTTTGGTGGGGACTATGGTCACTGGCACTCACAGGTGGTGGTCAGGTGGGTGGACTCCTGCAAGCAGCCTTGCACCCATGCCTGCATCCGTGCACCCGGTGCTGGCCACAAAGGCAGCGGCAGGGAAGGACGAGGGTTGGCTGGGGATGGAGGAGCCGCTGCCGTGCGTCACCTGGGAATTGCTCCAAGGGTTTGGGTAGGGCCGAGGAGCATTTCTGCAGCCTGACGTAAGGTTTTCCTCTCCCTCAGGGAAGGAGAGGTGCTGCTAAGTGGCTCTGGGGAAGCCTTCCTGCAGGAGTGGGGAGCTGCTGCTTCTACTCATGGCTTTCCTCCTCTCCTGGGGCCCAGCAAAGCTTCTGGGGTTCTGAGGAGTGCAGGGGGCTTTGTGCCATGCATTTGCAGTTCTAGTTCAACACAAAAGTCACTAAATTTTGGGTTTTACAGTTGAATAGTTGGCTGGGGCAATATCAGACTATAATACTGTTTCACCCTTACTTGGCATTTTACATCAGTGTCTTTGCCAGCCTTTGGGATTCAAGCCCTGTAGTCTCTTGAAGGAATGCCTAAATCCCCACGTGCACAGGAGGGGAAACTGAAGTACAGTAAAAGGAAAGCCAATGTTTCCACATAACAAAAACTTAAGATGTCCAACCTGAACTCAAAAGGTGTCCTGGAGGGGTTGCTCCACTTGTCCCCTGTGACCACCAACTCCCTGGCGCTCCCTCTGGCAGCTCTCTAGGGAGAAATGGGAAGGAGACCCAGGCAGGTTTTTGCTAAAGCTTCCTTATCTATACTGCTACCGTTCCTTGCTTAGAATCACATTTATTGCTGTTACAGCACCTGCTCAGTGATATTCTCTTGTACCAAGCATTTTGCGATGCTCTACTTCACCCAGCCAGCACCATTGTGCATCCTCCCATCCTGCTTTGCAATTACACCCTACTTCCTAACGAACACCAACACTGTCAGCCTCGCCTGAAAAAGAAACCGCGAGTCCCACCCAACCCTAACCATTGCTCTCATGCTGCTGCCGAGGCGGGAGCTGGTGGGCAGCCCTCAAAAAGGCAGCTTCCACGGAAAAACTTGGCCTTCAGAAACACTGTGCTCGTACCTACAAAGCTGCACAGGGTCTTGTTTCACCAGCCACCTGCAGCTGCTGGTTTTTGGACCCGATTGCCACTACCCTAAAAGCTGAATCCTTGGGCTTAGGTGCTGAACTCTCAGTTTGGGACTTCACGAATGCTCAGACGCTATTGGAAAGACGGGGTTTATCCTCTCTGCCCCGACAGAAACAAAGTGACTGCTGCGAATTTACTGTTTCGATCTGCAGAAGAATGTAGCTGTAACTTAGCTGGCCCTGATTAGCTGGTCATTTATCTTTTGAACATGCGTGTGGGAAATGTGATGAAAATGGGTGGATGAATGTCTGTGGGTTTCTGTCAGTTTCTGAAAATCTCATTTGAGATTTCCCAAATGAAACACAGCACTCTCAGAGGGGGTTTGGGCTTTGGCTAAACAAAGACATTTGTAGCTAATGTTTTATTGTTGGACTTTTATCCAGTCTGCTGCATCTTCCAGTTTCTACTTGCTAGAATGGGGATTTGAAAAAATAAAAAATAAATATAGTGGATTTTTTTTTTAATTTTTTTTTTAAAGTAGGCAAGCAGGATGATGGGCATGCATCCAGGAGGAAGGGATGATGCTGCAAGAGACAGAAGAGCCTTTTCTACCTCACCTCTGCTACCGAGCAGCTTCCAGCCTCGGGAAACCAGCAGCATTGCCTCATTCCCTTACCAGGCAGAGGGTGGTGATATCACCTCTGTCTCCACCTGAGAAGTCACGGGCTACCACTGAGGGCTCAGAGACTGAAATCCCATCCATCCTCCTCCTATCCCCTTCCCAGAGTGCGCGGTGAGTGTTGCAGATCTGTTTTTGCTCATAGGAGAGATAAGCAAGGGCTCTCGGGGTGCTGATCTCTGCTATCTGCTGCCCGCAGGCAGTAAAAGCAAAGGGCAAGGGGGAGAGTGGTGAGAGCTGCTGCTTAAAACTGCGCCTGTCCCAACCCTCATCCTCACCAAGGCCTTTTTTTTGTGGGACAGCTGTAGCAAAGGTTAAACTGGAACACAGATAAACAGAGCGGCTTTTCCTCAGCCTGAATCATCTGTGTGATGCAGGTTTGCCATTTATCCATAAATATCCTGACAGCTCATTATCCAGGCAGGAACACTGGATGCCTATGATACACTTAACTCCAAAAAAGAAGTAAAAAAAACCCCCAAACAACGCCAAAACAACACCCGCCTTAATTTCAGACAAAACAGGATGTACAGTTTTATTCCTGCGCTGAACGGCTTTATATTTATTGCCTCTCAACTTCTGGGGAGGGAAGGAGGGCTGGAACTTCCTTTTAAACTTGTAATTAATTGTTTGCAGAGAAGAAAAAAAAAGAAAAAATGAAAGAAAAAAACAAACGAAAAACCCAACCAACACACAGCCAGCAGAGCCCTTCGAATGTTTCCACTTTAAACCAGAACTGAATGTGCTGCAGAGGCCCTCACTGCTTGTTGCTGAGAAGTGCCCAGGCAGGGATGTGGCTGCGCATCCCTTGCAAGGGGAAGGCTGAGGTACCTGCCGCCACTCTGACCCAGCAGCGCTGGGGCCACCTTTCAGGTGGCTGTGCAGCTGGTGTTCAAATGCCTTTTCTGTTTGGTGTGTGCATTGCCTTTTGTTTTGTAGATGAAGGGATGTCTGTGCGCTAAATGAAAGGGTTCTTCAGTTTAATATAGAGGGAAAAAAGAAGGGAGGAGGGGAGGAGGAGAAAGTAGAAAAACTGGTGCCTTTTGAGCCGGCGACTCCAAGGGCAGGGGGGTCACCCAAGGCCACCCATTGCTAGCTGAAAGCCTGAGGAGCCGCATTTAGTAAAAATCTGTGCTGCTGCTCAATTTGGTGTGACGGCAACATCTCCCCTTAGACAGGGGTTGAACAGGGAGAGCTGTGCTGGGGTCCACCATGGGTGTGGAACAGGTGCCCAAAGCACATGCTGATGCAGCTCAGAGGTTTGCTCTTTCTATGGGCCAAGGTATGGGACCAAAATATGGGGCCAGGGAGGCGCTGGGAGATAGGGCAGTGTCTCAGGCAGGGCTGCTAAACACCCTGCTAAATGAGCTCTTTGTTTTTTGGGTAGCTGGTGCTGGCAGTTGAGTCGGAGAAAGCTGACATGGTAACTCACTCGGGAAATCCTGTGGCCAAGGATGGATGGCAGCTCTGCATGGCTGGGATTTATGCGGCTTACGTAAGTTTTAATCGAAGTTGGGCGTCCAACACTAGTTTCTTTAATGCACGTTGGCTCCAAAGGAGCCGGTTTTTTCAAGGGTGGGGAGCATCTGCCACTCCTCTGGAGTTATGGGCGGCCGTGGGTGGAAAACAAGCTCCTTTTGAAGGGCCAGCTTGGGATGGCACCACTAACCATAGGCGTTGCACAGCTTGCCTGGCTGAGCTGGAGGGGTAACGGCTGCCAGCCTGAGCATGGGGAAATCAAAACAGAGGGGTTGCCTTGGCAGTGCTGGCTTGCCCACATCCTGTAAGCTGTAGAGCAACTGCAGCGGCTGGGGACAGAGGTAGAGTTTGCAAAAGAGTTACGTTCACTGGAGACAGGGGGCAAAGGGCTGGAAACTGCTGTGCAGGGTCACCATGGCAGAGGGGAGAGAGCTGGAGCTGTATTAGGACCTGATTTTGCAAGTTAAGTCCTTTAGGCTCAACTCTCAACAGGCTCTTCTGTCTATCAAAGCTTCAGCCTATCAAAGCTCAACCTGCTCCTCTCAGCTGACGTGTAGCTCAGCTCAAGCGGGCGTGGGCCCACCCTAAGGTGCTTCTTCCTGTGTCCACGTTGAGAGCAGGAGTAGCTCCAGAGGACACCCAACCTACAGCCCGTGGGCTGCAGTGTTTGGCCCCCAGTGCTTCGAGGTTATTTGAAGCCCGCCGTGCTTGGTGTCTGGCTGCAACTCAGGATTTGCAGAAGTGGCACGAAAGCTTCTGACCTGCAACCACCCCCATTTCCTTAATGTGAGTGAGACCTCACTCCGCACAGTAGATGCTAAGTGGTGCAAAGCAGGAATCACAATATTAAACTCAACCATTTCCTTCTATTATTTGATTTATATCAGCTTTTATACCCCCTTTCCACTAGCAGTGACAGCTCTGGGCCAGGCTAGGAGAGGCTAACATCTCTGTCAGAGCCTGTGAGCTCTCTCATGCAAGGAGCAGAGACACAGCTACGCGTGCAC